TTATCCAGGGACCCCACGATTTGTTTTTAAGGTCAAACTTCCTCCTTTCCACTGTCCATGATGTCGACGTCCAGCGAAATAGAGCTCCATAAAGTTGTGGTAGCCAGAATCACGTCTCGCCAGGAGGAGCAGATCTCGAAAAGCAACGTGGGATCAGCCGCGACATCTGTTTAGACAACCTGATTGCATTCGTTGGTGTGAGGATGCAGAACAGGAAAATCTCTTTCGATACACTGGTAGCGTCGTTCGAGACGCGTCTACAATTTAACGCCCTTGTCAGCGAGGACATCAATTTAAGCAGCCGTTGCTTATTGATTCAAAAGATGAGGATATCATGCCTTATGAATATTAGAACGTTATAGTCGCGTTTGAACTTTGAAGCAGCAGACGTGTTGACTGTCGTCGTCGCTTCCTAAGGCGGCCCCGCCGTCCGATTCGGACCGGGACCTGGACGAGCCTCTGAGCCGTAACAGGGTCACGTGCATCTCTACTCTTCTACTGTACCACCACCACCAATTTGCCCGGCAATGGCCACCATGGCCCCCTCAGAGCCAACGCAGGCTCCCGAGTCTTTTACCAGCTCCTTCGATGAGAAGATCTCCCAAATAGACTGGGAAGGACTGCGCAGGCGCAGCCTTCAACCAGGAGGCTTCGGGACCAACAGAATACAAATTTGGTGCGTCATTTTGAGTGGTCCAAGACGCTATTTGCTGACCTGGATTTAATGTGTATCTCCTGTGTGAATAGGCCTCAGCTCCTGCATGTTTCAAAGTTGGCTGAACGAACGGAGGAAAGAGGAGAGCTTGTGGAGGAGCACCGCGACGAACGACAGATCCGGCTGGACACGGATCGCAGCTTTGTCCTATACCCAGTAGGTGAAAAGGCCTTGCCTGCTCCTGTCTCCACCTCATAACGGGAGCATTGCTTACCCACGTTGTCTAGACACGCCCTTGGAGGCTAGGGAAGCGATGCAGATGAAGCTTAATCGACTCCTGGTGTCGGTTTTTCGACGGCGTCCAAAGCTCAATTATTTTCAAGTGTGTATCATTATACTCACTGTTGAGCATTTTTGGCCCTAACGCCTATCGAAGGGCTACCATGACATCGTTAGCGTGCTATTCTTGACGCTGCCGGAAGAAATACAGCTTGCATGTGTAGAGAAGATAAGTTTGCATCGGGTGCGAGACTCAATGGGGGCAACCCTCGAACCTGTCCTTGGGCTGCTTCGGTACGCATCCCTCTCGCCTTGTTCACTAACACAGAATACTCAGTCGCGATCGCAGGCTGACCAAGAATCTTCTAAGACAAGCAGACCCGCAATACGCAGAGGTTATAGAACGGTACGCCCCTTCCGCTGTAATCGCCACCGCTGATTCTGACACAGTCATTAGGACCTCACCGCTACCGTTCTTTGCCCTCTCAAACCTCTTGACACTGTTCTCGCACGACATGCCCACTCTTCCACTTATTCAACACGTTTTCGACTACATACTTTGCCGGCCACCTATTATTATTGTGTATCTTGCCACAGCCGTGCGTTTACTTCACTTCTTTCCATTAGGGAGAGAGTCTCATACAATTTACAGATTATATTATCGCGAAAAGAGGAGATACAAAAACTGGAGGAGGACGAGGATGAGGATATCGGGATGGCGCATTCGGTGCTGAGCAGTCTGCCCGACATATCGGATGCGGATGAGACGAAGGTGGGGGGTGTGGAAGTGCAAGAGCTGGTGAACGGCAGCCTGGAAGACTCTCTTGACGCTACAAAGGAGGAAGTAGCGCCGAGTTTGAAATTGGAGGAGGATACTGAGCCCGATGAGAAGCTTCTCGACCAAGTGATAGCAGTGAAGACCAAGGACCTTGAAGAAGAACTCGTGACGGCCACAGTCGCGGAGGAAGCCCCCCTGTCTGATGTCATGAACGAGGAACTATCCTCTATATCCTTACCCCCGGCATGTTCCTCCCAACCCACGCCCTCCTCGTCCCGTCCCGCCTCATCCCGTACCGCCTCACCAACCCCGCCCTTTTCATCCCGCCCGTCCGCGTCCCAAATCCCCTTGACTTCCCTCCTCACGCACGCCGAAGCGCTCTACGCGCTGTACCCGCCCACGCAACCTGCCCTCGGCCTCGCAAACATCATGGGGCCGCAAAGCGTCGTGTACACTTGGAGCGACTCTCCTGACCTGTTGCCAAAGGATGACGAGGCAGAGACCATGGTCGTAGCTCCTGGCCTCGTGGTGTACCCGTACATCGAGGATGACGAAGACGAGGTCGCAGAAGACGGCGAAAACGGTGGAGAGGGCGAGTGGGAGGAGAAATCCCCGCCACAGAACAAGCGCAGGCGGGAGAAGGTCAAGAAGCTCCGCGGGAAGGTGCGGGGCCGATTTAGGAAGCTGCGGAGGCTTGGGGTGGAGAGGAGGACGGGGACGATGGTGGCAGGGGCGGTGCTGGTGCTCGGGGTGGCCATGGCGGTGTATGGAGTGAGGATGCGCGGGAATCATGCGGGGGCGGGCATGTATGGGTTCGCGGATGGGCATGGACATGGACATGGGCGGGATTGGAAGAAGGTCGTGGGTTGGGTTGGGGGTGCGGTGGTGGGCGTCACGGAAAGGGTTTTAAGCGGGTTGGGACCGTCGTAGTTGTTGGAGTGATGAGGTTTCTGGACTCTCTATTAGTACGTACGGCCTGCGCATCAAAAACTTGGGAATCAGATCCCACTTCAAGCTTCGAATCTGCTTAGTATCCGTGCATCCTGAATACATTCCATTCACACGTCAATTTCAGTGGACACCGTCAATACGCGTCAGTGCTTGGTCTTCACCCACAGCGGCAAGCGGCGTATGTCTTGATGTTCACATTACCAGAGGACTCGGACGTTACTAGCTATAGGGCTATTGCACGCTATGATGGCGCGCAATTGCCGTGATGAGCCAATTCTGGAGCCCTATCTAAATCAAGTTCCGTTAGCTTCCATTCCATCGCAAAGTTGCGCGATATCGTCTCGAGCTCCCTGGATTTAGGTTTCAACTGGAAAAACAAATTTAAGTTTCGACCAGGACGTTTGGACTGCTCTTCATCGTCCGATCCAGCCTCACCCGTCGATCCCGCCCCAGCTCTCAAACGTATAAAGAGGGGAGCAGAACGCCGTTTCAAATTAGATACTTTTGTCCCCTCCATATTCTCCCCTCTCGCGCTCTCTCTCATAACCTCGCTTGCCACCTTCCAATTTCTTCATCGTTCGAGCACGCGACAAAGATACGCAGCTCGGGAAGGGCTTCGCCCACTCACGTTCAGTTCGCCGTACGTTCTTTTTATTCTTTGACTCCAGTCCGGCCACTAATGAGCGTCTCACCCAGAGGATCGCCAAAGCGTCGGCGAAATCCTGCTACCAATGCTGCGCTAAGTCGTTCCCTGAGTGGCGCCGCTAAGTCGCGTGTAATTCTATGGTTCACTCATTCCGTACAATCTTACACTAGGCTGAATCCCATAGCAGACTGCATATTGTCAAGCTTGCCATCATCGTAGGGATTTCGTCTCGACTGGCTAGAGTCATTTAGGTTTCAACTAGCTAGAGGTATTTAGGTTTCGACCGATTTAAAGTCTCACAACCGTCATTTTCAGCTTTCGATCCAGGTCCGCGCTCGATCCCACCCCTTCTACAACTTGTATAAAGAGGGCACCGGGATACGGATTTCAGGTAGCTACTTCTTGTCCCTAATGTTCCCTCTCGCTCACTCTCCCTCTCATCCCGCTTGCCGTCTCCGTAATACCGGAAATCTCATCTACGTCGAGTATCTCGGGGGTCGCCTCGTTGTACGGCGGGTGCGGCTGCAATGTCACCGTAAGGCTCGTATCTATACTATTGCAAGGCTTACTTTTAAGCTAAATCCGTCGAGTTTCAAGCATCCGATGGCGCTCTGTCGAGCACTCGGTACGGTATACGGCCATACCGTCGCCGTACCGTCGACCCTCCGAGAGACACGGTCCACGGCCGTAAATTGTACGGCCAAGTCATTCAGGTTTCAACTGGCTAGAGGTAAGTATTCAGGCTTCGACCGGTTGAAAGTCTCACAATCGTCACTTCAGCTCTTGATCCAGGCCCGAGTCTGATCCAGCCCCTTCTCAAATTGTATAAAGAGGGGAGGGAGATATCGTCTCAAGTAGCTTCTTCTTCTCCCTCCCTCTGCTTCTTTCTCTCTCTCTTATCTCGCTCGCTCGCCCGCTAGTTGTAATAACGGAACACTCGTCTGTTCTGGTTCCACGAATATCTTACGTGTGTATGTCTACCATTCTGCTGCGTCTTAGTACTGATATAATGACCTATCAACTCTTCAGATTCCTTTCACTAGTACAAGGCATGCTTGCGGCATCGCGCTCAGGCTATTAATATCACTGCCATGTTACAGCGCTAGCGCGGTGCACCGTGCAGTACAGACACGGCTATACGGCACCGTAATACGGAAACTGTGCTGTAGTACCGTCGAGGATTTCGGGGCTCGCCCCGTTGTACGGCTCCCTAACGCGGGGTTCCTTCAGCAGGAAATGGCAAATGTCACTGTTCTTTAATTGGCCGTCCCTTACTTCCCCCTCTCTCTCTTGTCTCGCGTCAAGTATCTCGTGGGTCGCCTCGTTGTACGGCTTTGGTGCGGCTTCCTCAGAACGCGGGATCCTTTCACGTAAGCTCCTGTCTGTACTAAAGGCTTATTTTTATGCTCAACTTGTTTCAAGCATTGGATGGCGCTTTGTCGAGCACTCAGCACGGTACACGGCGGTATCGTCGCCGTACCGTCGAGTCTCCGAGAGACATGGTCCACGGCCGTAAATTCTACGGCTGCGGCCGTATGACTCGACGGTGGGCAGTCCTATGCTACACTCTTTCTCGTAAAGCAGGATGGTTAGAACAGGATGGTTAAGAAGTTGGGCGGTAAAAATGCTATGTAGTGTAGGTAGGTAGACCTTGCAGTAGATGCTGATCTGGTCTAAAAGGTGAAAAAGATTGGACGTTCAGGGGATTGAACCCTGGACCTTATACAAGGGTGCTTGCTTACGTAAGGTGATTACGTAAGGTTTGCTGGTGCAAAGCATACGCGCTACCACTGCGCTAAACGCCCATGATTATAGTACAATTTACGACGAATCTAACCGCTCGAAATGACGGAGACGACTGCGGTTGGGGTCCATTTCTGTGGTAGAGGTCTTTACTTGACCTCGGCCGTATGGTCCGCACTGTAAGCGCGTTTGAAATTCCCCTTTTCCCCCCTGCCATGCATATCGTGGCACCTCGTCAGCAGGCCGATGCTGGGCATACTCGTGACCGCTCAATTTCCTCTTGACAGTCAGTGTCTTCGTCTTCCCAGAGCTCGTTGTCGCGTCCAACGTCAGCACGTCTCCTATTAATATTGACCTTTATCCCCTTGGATGGGCTCCTCTCGGCCGGGTTCGACATAATCGATATCATTTATAGCGGGCCAGCACTTCCTATGTGCGTACCAAGGGAATTTGGGCACCATCTTACCCCGCCTTACATATAGGGGGTTCATGTGACACCGACATCCGACTCCGTAACATGGGAAGACTATAAGAAGGCCTCCAGATAAACCGAGCTGCACCGGCTTTGACGAAAAGCTGACGGTTATCCCATCTCTCCACCATGAGCAAAGCTATCCCCGACACACCCCTTCCCACACTCGAGAACCTCAATGCCACCGTACCGGACGACCTCAACGCGAAAGCTGTAGCAAAGGAATGGTTTAAAGCCTTCGCACAGTCGGCCGAAGCCAGCGACGCCCAGGCTTTGGCCGCGCTCTTCGTCCCCGATGCCTTCTGGCGTGACATGCTCGCACTCACCTGGGACTTTCGTACATTTTCCGGCGTGCCCAAGATCACTCAGTTCCTTTCCGATCGTCTAGAGACCGCGCGTCCCACGGCGTTCCTCTTGCGCGACGATGCTTACCTCGGCCTCCAGCGCCCGTATCCCGACATCGCGTGGATCAACCTAATGTTCGACTTTGCTACAGCTACTGGCCTCGCTTCTGGCGTCGCAAGGCTAGTACCCACGGCCAATGGCGAGTGGAAGGCCCACACCGTGTACACGAACCTAGAGGACCTGAAAGGATTCCCAGAGAAGATCGGCGCGCTCAGAAACGCCGCCGCTAACCACGGGAAGTGGGTAGATGATAGGAAGCGGGAGGTCGAGTTCGTGGACAGCCAGCCGGTGGTGCTGATTGTGGGGGGTGGGCAGAGTGGACTGGAGGTCGCGGCAAGGCTAAAGGCGCTAGACGTGCAGACATTGGTCGTCGAGAAGAACGCAAGGATCGGTGATAACTGGAGGAACAGGTATGACGCATTATGCCTGCATGACCCGGTCTGTGAGTATCATATATAGACTCTTTCTTCAAGCAGGCTAATAACATCTGGCGTTTAGGGTACGATCATATGCCTTATCTCCCGTGAGCCCCCACCATCCGTTTTCGTGGTTGTTTCCCAACCTATCTTCCCAAAGCTTCCCACCAACCTGGCCCGTCTATGCTCCTGCTGTAAAGGTAAGCCAGCCACATGCACTCAATGCTGATCTGACCAGTTCCTAGCTTGCCAACTGGCTCGAAAGCTACGCCGAAACGCTGGAGCTCAACGTTTGGACCTCTTCTGCAGTCGTCAGTGCAACGCAAGCCGGCGACGCATGGAAGGTCGTCATCAAGCGCGGCGATGGGTCCGAACGGTCCTTCACCGTCAAGCATATCGTCTTTGCCACCGGGCTCGGAAGCAACGACAGCACTACGGTCCCCACCTACGCAGGCATGGTGAGCATCACCCAGATACTTATGTACGGCTTTTCTAAAGTCGCTTCTAGGATGTCTTCAAAGGCCAGATCCTACACTCCAACCGACACAAGAATGCGAAAGACCATCTAGGGAAGAAAGTCGTCGTCGTCGGCGCGTGTACCTCCGGTGCGCTTCATGTTATCTCAACGCTACACGCAGGACTCACCCGCGCCATTGGCAGCCCATGACATCTGTACCGATTACTACGAGCAAGGCGTCGGTGCGTCCACCTTGTGCCCAGCCGCTTCTTTGCTCATGCTTTCGCGACAGACGTAACGATGTATCAGCGCGGCTCGTCATACATCATGTCCACCAAGAACGGATGGAAAGTCCTCATGGATGGTATGCGACCTTCTTTCCTCTCCTCCTAGTTCCGCAGTGCTGACCGAAAACCTGCATCCCAGGCGTCTACTCCGAGGGCGGGCTCCCGACCGACATCGCTGACAGGCTTAATGCGTCGTTCCCTCATCATATGGGCGTGGGCATTGCGCGGCGCCGCACCGAGGCCATCGCCGAGCTCGACAAGTACGTGCCACTGGTCAGTTTCGAAGATGATGCTAACGAGTTGAACTTTCAGGGACATCCTGGATGGACTTCGTGCTCGCGGGTTTCTCCTGAACTATGGTATTCATGGGACCGGCTTCGCGTTACTTGCTTGGTCCCGTGCGGGCGGGTACTACCTTGGTATGTTCCTCAACCTCAAACATGATAAGTCGTGTTGCGGCTGACATCCATGAGCGGTATAGACACCGGCGCGAGCAAGCTCATTGCGGATGGGAAGATCAAGCTGAAGAACGGGAGCCCGATTGCGCGGTTCAACGAGAAAGGGATAGTCTTTGAAGACGGTTCCGAGCTCGAGGCTGATGTTGTGGTTTTCGCTACTGGGTAAGCATTCCTTCTTCTGTGGGATGTCCGACCATGCGCGAATCTAACGCGGGAATAGGCTGGGCGACTCGCGTGAGCATCTGCGCAAGGTCTGCGGAGATGAGGTCACCGCCACGCTGAAGCCATTGTGGGGGCTCGACGAAGAGGGCGAGATCAACGGCGTGTGGCGCGATCTCGGCGTACAAGGCATATGGTCGATGCTCGGTAATCTAGCGCTATGTCGCTTCCACTCCAAGCATGTTGCGTTGCGTATGTCTTCTCTTGAATTTCTAATTGTGCTGGGTCTAATTACGATTATATTTTTGGAATGCTTTAGAGATCAAAGCGATGGAGGAAGGTGTGTTTGGGGAAAGGTACAGCGCTTCTGCTTAGATAGGACATGTAGGTCATGCCCCGAACAAATGGATGTATATAAACTGAGGAGGAATCTACCACTGTATTAGTTTTATGTGGTTTGTCCAGGCGTGGAAGCCGTTGTTTATCCCTGGTAACTTTCCAGTCATCTCTTGCAAGCTGATGACCAGTCCCTGGGCATGTAGGAGCAGTCAAGGGTTATGACAGGATGGTCGTATCGAGGTCGATCGTTTTTTTAATTAAGATAGCGCGCGAAGGAGTGTTTGAAGATCGGACAGAGCAGGATGGCATCCTGATACAGTTGACAATGATCCGCGACCAGAAAACGGAAGTTAAGCACCGTTCTTGAGGAGAATTTGAAGACGGAAGTGATATGGAACCCTACTGATTAACAGTGGGCGTAAGTGAGATATTTCAAAAAAAAGATAGGCCGCCTAGACATCACAGTGTATTTGGGATTGGAAGGATGATCCGAGAAGGCAGGAGGATTGGACTTGCACCTAGGTCAGTTTACTCAGGATTGAAAGAGTAGCCGTATTCCTTCCTTTTAAGTTGGGCGGAAATGTTTCTACGCAGTAGACGAGGCTTAAGCATTTGCCCTCCGGTTGGAATGTCAGGTACGCTGTGGACAAGGCAAGGCAAGCCGACATTACAAGTACCGAGTGGACTACTCAAAGTGCAGGCTAAACTGGAGATGATGACGACCATCGAATGGGCGCAGTCAATATGATGGTGATACTGGCCGCTTGGACGCATTAACAAGGATCAGAGCCTTTCGACGACGAGGGAGAAGATATGCATCTCGGGTGCTAGGAAGACGCACAGATCACTATATATTTACCCAGTTTTCCTCGTTCTCCTCGGGTACAAAAATGGCCGTCACTGTGTCAGCCTCATGCAGAGCCAGCAACATGATAGGAGGTTATAAGTAGTGTGGACATGTCCACCTGAGATGGAGCCTTCAATCGCGAGAATCTTTCTGCGACTCGAACAGCTATGCTGTGCAGTTTCTTCATCTTTAGTTGCTATCATCCTTCCAAGAATTTCACTTCATGCCAATACCTCACCCGAAGCCCGGCATCTTGACTTCCTAGTCGGTGCAGATCACGCATAACATTGCTGAAGCGAAGCATTTTCTCTGTCGAAAATTTCGCCCGCCCACCAATCTCGACGTCCCGAAGATTAGAGTCGGTCAGTCTCGTCACTTGCGTGAGCGACTTCACGGAAGAAGTCTAACAGTTTGATTGCGGGCTACAGGGACATCCATTAGTATGTTTGTTTACATGAGTCGAAGCGGGGATCACTTACGATAGTCTCCAAGGTCTCCGCAGTTGCTCCTTCCTACCGCATGCGATTCTATCAGGGAGAACCGATTACCGAAGGGAACGGGCTCCGGATTTCGGCCAAAGACATCCTTAACCGCATTTTTAAGGCTTGTTGCCAAGTCATTCCATGGGATAGGACGTGGATGTACAAGGTTCAAGGCTGCGGGGGCGGTCATCTTGCACAAGGCGACATCAGCGACCGCCGCCGCCACCGCATTCATAGGAAGCCATGACACAACCTTCAGAAGTCTTAGCCCGACATATCCGCAACGCAAAGCCAAATAACATACCTTCAACTTTTGGAAGCATCCCGAGCGTCATGCTAGACTTGACGAGAATTGGCAGCCAGTCAGTGGTGGCCCAAGTCCCATTTGGAGATCCTCCACTGATCTGACCACCCAAGTCCCATTTGGAGACCCTCTACTGATCTGACCAATCCGTAGAGACGTTGCTTGCAGGCCGTTTCTACGGGGACCTGAAGATTACGGCTATGTATATTGCTGGAGGATAAAGACGATAAACTAACCCTCTCAGTGACATACTTTCCCTCTCCGTACCCTCCTCCTACTGCGGTCGATGCATCTGTCACGGCTTCCTCTGGGACAGGACCCAGCGAAGTGTTCCGGATTGCGCAGACGCGACGGGTGAGGTGAACACGAATCGCGAATCCTGTGCCTTCGGTCCAGATCTTACTAGATCGACGAGGTGTCGCGTCTTTCGAATATT